CTGAGTGGCTGCGCCCGGAGCCAACTTTCTCCGGGACCGAGCGCGCCGTGGGGACCCAGCCAGGAGTGACCGGGAGCGGGCTGGGCGTCCGCGGCCCGGGGGCAGCGACCGCCGCGGGGGGATCAGAGCGCCCGGAGGAGCAGTGGGAGCCGGGGCTCGGCTGAGCGCAGGGAGCCTCACGCGAGACTTTTACGCAGCCCCGGGTCTCCGTGGCCTCTGGGACGGGCGCGGGCAAGCGTCCCGTCGACGCAGAGACACAAGCCTTGGCCACTGTCCCCGAAGACGACCGCAGTCCTCGGCGCTTCTCCAGCACCCCAGGGGAGGCTGTGGCCATGGTGAATGAGGGTCCCGGCCTGCAAGAGCGCGATGAGCCCGCCAAGTCCGAGCCCGCCCTCCCAGCGGACCCCACCGTCTCCATTCACCCCAGCGTCTCGACCCACCCCAGCGTCTCCATTCACCCCAGCGTCTCGGCGCACCCCAGCAGTTCCGCCCACCCCACCGCCTCGGCCGAGCCCGGGGCCTTGGCGCAATCCAGCGGTGCGGGCACCGAGGACCTAGGGGTCATCAAGGTGAGCCGGCGCCGCTGGCCGGTGGTCCTGGTGTTCAGCTGTTACTCCATGTGCAACGCCTTCCAGTGGATCCAATACAGCTCCATCAACAACATCTTCATGCACTTCTACGGCGTCAGCGCCTTCGCCATTGACTGGCTGTCCATGTGCTACATGCTGACTTACATCCCCCTGCTGCTGCCCGTGGCCTGGCTGCTCGAGAGGTTCGGCCTGCGCACCGTGGCGCTCACCGGCTCGGCGCTCAACTGCCTGGGGGCCTGGGTGAAGCTGGGCAGCCTGCAGCCGCACCTGTTCCCGGTCACCGTGGTGGGCCAGGTCATCTGCTCCGTGGCCCAGGTCTTCATCCTGGGCTTGCCCTCCCGCATCGCTTCCGTCTGGTTCGGAGCCAACGAGGTTTCCACCGCCTGCTCCGTGGCGGTCTTCGGCAACCAGGTGGGTGGAGGCGTCCTGGATGGCTCCGGGTGGGGTGGATGGACCTGCCCGCCCAGGGCAGGAGGCTGTAGTTTCCTGACTGCTCAACAGCCTTTGTGACTCTGGGTGACTTTGTGGCTGGGTGTGACTGGCAGTGTGAGTGGGTGATTGTGACTAGGTGACCCTGTAAGAGAGGTGGGAGAGAAAAGCAGGGGGCCACCTCTTGCATCCACAGGCCCTCCTCCCCACAGAAGGCATGCTTCTAGAAAGTACATTGCCTTAGCTGTGCCATCCCTGAACCCGTGGGGGTCCACCAGCTCAGCCCTGCAACTTCAGGAGCTCTCCTTTATCTGGCAACAGCTCCTGGGCACCAGACCAGTCTGGTGTCCTCAGAGTGTGGCCGTGTTTTTAGCAAGACCAACCAGCTTTCCTAGAGTGCTGTATGTGTCCTGTACTTCATAGACTTGCCGAGCATGCCGGTGGTGGTTGGCACTGTTTTTACCTTCTTTCATTCACAGCTGAAGCCAGGACAGTGGGAACAATGCTTTGTGCCAAACTCCTTCCCTGGGATTTAGAGCCAAGTCCAGCCGGATGGAGTCGAAATCTCGTTCTGAATGTCCAAGGCCTAGGGGAGCTCGCTCGTGTCTTCATCTTTTTTCTTTCCGTGTTGGGAAGGGAATCGGCAGTTCTTTGCATTTCGGTGTGGTTATGATCCAGAAAGTTGGGCATGTTGTGAATCGGATTGCCTTCTCCACGTATGTGAAGCAAATATTTATGACAGCACTTGAAACAGACTTTGGTGAGCACAGCCCTGGGGTCTCGCTCCTTGCCAGACTTTGGTGAGCACGGCCCCGGGGTCTCGCTCCTTGCCGTCCTGGCTGGGTGCCTAAGGACCGATCGGCAACCCTTAGCTCCCACAGGCCTGCTTCTCCTCCCTGTTCATTTCATTGAGAACATTTAACCTTTCATTTAGAAATGTTTCCTTTGGTAGAGAAACTTCCCACAACGCCTCTAACGGTGAATTTCCCTTCTGTTTGTCTTTCCATCAGAAGGTAACTTCACTACACTGCCCTGTGCCACTGAGTTCTGCCACTTGGGCCCCAGCCTAAGCAATTAAAGAAAGCAAACAGAGGCCACCTTTTGCCCACAGCCAGCAATGTAAATCCTCTGTCCAGATTTATCTTGTGGGTTTGCATATTTTGAAGAGTGAATTGATTTGAGGCCTGAAGATGAAACTAGATGGACTTTTTTTTCAGGATAATTTAAAAGTAGGGATTGAGGCTGGGCTCAGTGACTCAGTCTGTAATCCCAGTACTTGGGGAGACTGAGGCAAGTGGATTGCCTGAGCCCGTGGATTCGAGACCCACCTGGGCAACTTGGCCAGACCTTATCTCCACAATACATCAAAAACTTGCTGGGCATGGTAACGCGCGCCTGTAGTTCCCGCTACTTGGAAGGCTGAGGCAGAAGGATCACAGGAGCCCAGCAAGTCAAGACTGCGGTGGCCGGGAGCATGCCACTGCACTCCAGCCTGGGCGACAGAGTGAGACTCCAACTCAAAAAAAAAAAAAAAGCAGGGATTCAGGATATTAACCAACCACCTATCTTCATCCTCCCTGCTGCCCTGCAGGTGGGCCTGGCTCTAGAGGGTTTTCTTGGTGGGTCGGGGAAGTCAGGAGGTGCTTCTCACCTTCAGGAGTGTAATCTCCCCGTCAGCAGCCCAAGAGGATTCAGTTAAGGTCAAGTGCTGCTTGCGGAGGGAAAGATTGCTAAAGCATTGCTAACTGGGAGAAGCCTTCTTTCTCAAGCTTGGTGTTGGGAGAGTCTAACACTTAAAAAAAAATTAACCATTAAGTGCAAATAAGTAGGTTTTCACATCACTTCTCACATGTCCCTGAGGCTAATTAATACTAGATAGAATTTTAAAATGTAATAGGAATGGTTATTAATTCTCCACCCCCCAACAAATTCAGGAAATGCAAGGAATTTTACATTTAAAAACCCTCTGACAGGTCTATTTGCATCAAGAAGCCTATTATCAAGGATTCTATTTAGTTTGATCTTTCTGGCCTAACCCTCTGTGCTGAGTTAAACATTATGGAAATCTGAGTTGTTTATGCCTCCCCATGTAGAGATGGCTGTGTTTGCTCCTCTGTGTGTGTTTTAACCCTGTTTCTCTGAGTCAAGCACATTTGACTGTAGAAGAAATATTAACAGAGCACCCTGAGCTTTACTGCTTAGAAAAAAAGACTCTGCAGGCCTGGCCTGGTGGCTCACGCCCATAATCCCAAAACTTTGGGAGGCGGAGGTGAGAAGATTGCCTGAGCCCAAGGGTTCAATACCAGCCCGGGCAACTTGGCAAGACCTCATCTCTACAATTTAAAAAAAAATTACTGAGTGTGGTGGTGTGCACTAAGTAGCTGGGTAACCAAGTGAGACTCTGACTCAAAAGAAAAAAAAAAAAAGACTCCATAAAGCTTCAAAACAGACTTCAGATGTTATTATGCAAAATAATCTTCATGGCGTGCAGACTTCTCTTTAACCTTGACCACACACCTCACATAGTCTCTGTGCCCAGGTAATTCTGATCTTGCTCTTCAAATGCTTCTTAGGTGCTCCACACGCGTACCAGCCTCTTCTGGCACTAAATCCAACGTTCATTTAGCCAACACTTACCTAGCACCTGCCTTTTGCAAGACACTGTGCTAGGGCTGCAAAGATAGTACCTGCCTTTGAAGAGCTCCTGTGCCAGATTTTAAAATTGTACAAGCACCAAATTTCAGATTTAAAAATTTTGTTTTAATTTTATCTTTTTTTTTTTTTGGTAGAAACTGGGTCTCACTGTGTTGCCCAGGCTGGTCTTGAACTCCTGGCCTCAAGTAGTCCTCCCTCTCAAGCAGTGTAGGGATTACAGGTGTGAGCCACCATGACCAGCCCTAAGATTCAGACCTGAAAAAAAAAAAGAATTCATTTTCAGTTTTCCGTGAGGTTTTTAGTGTTTTCTTTGCCTAGTTGCTATGGGAAAGGATAAAGAAGGGAAAGAAGGCTAGTATCTATTAAAGGCTAACTATATGCAAGACACTTTTTCATCCATTATTTAAGTTAATCCTTTCTGCAACTCTGTGAAGTAGGTGAAATTGTCCCCATTGTTACAGGTGAGGGAACTGAGACCCAGAAAAATCTAGCAACCTTATCCTGCATCCTAGAGCTATTGAATGGTAAAAGGGAGATTTGAACTCAGTTGTGCCTCCAAGGCTACTGTCAGTAGGTCTCTATTGACTGTGATAGAGGATATATGGAAGAAAAAAATAAGTGGATTCTGAGGATTTAATGTTTTCCCCTTGCTTCTCAGGGATTGTTTGCGATAAAATTTCTGGCAGTGTTGTCCAGAGTTTGAGGGCCTAGCACTTTCTTTTGTTTTGAAACTCCTGCTAGAGGAACCTAGCATGGGGACTCCACGTTGTCAGGAAGGTAGGAGTGGAGACCCTGGCAGGAAGAAGCCAGTGAGTGCTAAGCTGAGGTGAGAGGGCACAACTGAAGCCCTTCCCTTTTCTCAGGACTCTCTGACCCATCGCTCCTAGGTAATAGGACTCTGGCATTTCTAGTAACACTTGCAGCATTGTTTCAAGGAATAATGATGTATGTGGGTTTTGAGTGACACACACACACATTGTTATTGCATGGAGTTAGAGTCTAACAGTTTGACAGAACAAGATAGCTAACTGTAGGACCTGAAAGAGACATCCAAGGTCAGACCTACCCCAGGTGAGGCGCCCTGCAGCACAGAGAAGAGAGGGGACCTCCCCAAGGACCCTTGGGCAGCTCACTACACGGTGCTCTTCAGAAATAAAGTAGGAGAGAATAATTTTACTTTTGGTAGTAAAGAAAGGCCAGGACTGGTGGCTCATGTCTGTAATCCCAGCGCTTTGGGAGGCCCAGGTGGGAAGACTGCTTGAGCCCAGGAATTTGAGACCAGCCTGGGCTACATAGTGAGACCTCATCTCTACAAAGTAAATAAAATAAAATAAAGTAAACTAAAAAGAAGTAAAGAAAATACAGTAACCTTACAGCACCAGTTCTGTAGAAGCCACAGCTAGCTATCTGAAATAGCACTGTCCAATAACAATATAATGCAAGCCACATATATAACTAAATTTTCTAGTAGCTACATTAAAAATGTAAATGTTAAAAAAAGGGAAAAGAACAGGTAAAATTATTAGTAGCTGTCTTTAGTCGTTTTATGCAGCTATAAAAGAATACTACAGATTGTGTAATTTATTTATTTATTTATTTATTTTGAGTTGGAGTCTCACTCTGTCACCCAGACTGGAGTAGTGGCCGCTCCCGGCCACCGCAGCCTGGACCTGCTGGGCTTTGGCGATCCTTCCTCCTCAGCCTTCCAAGTAGCTGGAACTACAGGTACGTGCTACCACGCCTGGCTAATTTTTTGATTTATTGTAGAGATGAGGTCTCGCCAAGTTGCTCAGGCGGGTCTCGAACCTGTGGGCTCAGGCAATCCACTCAGCCTCCCAAAGCACGGGATTGCAGGCTGAGCCATCGAGCCGGCTAGATTGTGTAATTTATAAAGAACAGAAATGTATTTGGCTCACAATTTGAGAGACTGGCAAGTCTGGGGTCAAGGGCAGCATCTAGTAAGGGACTTCTTGAAGGCACGTCATGGACAAGAGAGGCTCTGAGAGAGGGCTGAACTAAATTTTTTTGGTTTTTTTTTAGTAGGAGTCTCACTTTGTTGCCCAGGTTGGAGTGCAGTAGCATGCTCAGAGCCACTGCAGCCTTAACCTATTGCATTCAGGTGATCCTTCCAAGTAGCTGGAACCACTGGTATGCACCACCATGCCTGGCTAATTTTTAAAAAAAATTTATTGTAGAGATGTGGTCTCACCGAGTTGCTCAGGCTGGTGTCGAACCCCTGGACTCAGGCAGTCCTCTTGCCTCCACCTCCCAAAGTGTTGTGATTACAGGTGTGAGCCACCATGCCTGACTTGAACTAATTTTTATAG